CAGTCGATAGAGAATTAAATTGTCTACAAAATGGTTTATTTACTTTTGAGTTCTGACTTTTTCAAAAATTTCTGCAAATAAAATAAAATCATAGAAAAACGTCACGGAATTACATACGCAGGTAGAGTTAGCTGGCCAAGCCGAAAAACCACTAGTTTTGAAGGTATTTTCCATTTTTCTCGCCCCAGAAGTGATTTTATTCAATAAAAATGACATATTCAAAATCAGCGCAAGAAACTGCACCGAATGGCGTGCAATTAGTGAGTTTTTGTGAGTAAAAACTTGTTGGATCTAACGAAACGCTAAACTCGAAGCATAGAGTCACAATTTCAGCTAAGGATTTTGATATTTGCTATAGTAGCAGTCCGAAAGTCTATAAACACTTTTTTTGTAGGTTTTCAGATACGCTCCTTCCAATGATGCGCTTTATAAAATTTCAAAATACTTATATGTGGGTTTTCTAGAGACCCGATCTGTGGAGAACCCAGATGAAGGCCTCTTTGAACTTCGTAAAACACACCTTGAAAATCTATAAAAAAAGTGTTTATAGACTTTCGGACTGCTGTTATAGCAAATATCCATCTGGCCTATGTAAAAAATTTACACTGTGAATGTGAAGTAAAGGAAGGTCAACTTCATCTCCCGTATATCATATCCCATTCACTATTTTGTTTCAATATGGACTGAAGACAGTCTTGTCATTTTTTCAGTCGATCATAAAATCAAACTAGAATGCAATTGTGCTACACACTAGTTGCGATGTCGACAGATTATGGCTCTGCTCGCAGAAAGCTGAACAAATAATCTTTCCAACATAGCAGACTCGCAGATACACATAAAGGAATTTACTTAAAGGATGCAAATGTGCTACGCAAATCATCACCGAATAAGAATGATATAGTATAATGACAAAACGAGGCGCCTGACATCGTAACTAATGAAATATATCTAAATATAACAATAAGTTGTGCATAATCATAATCAAATCAATCAATCGAGAAGTAACATCAATAATAGTAGTAAAATAAAATATAGTAATTTAATAATTATGAATGTTCGCCTGAAGAACAAATTAGTGCTTGTTCTGATTAGCTCAAATCGCTGCAGTAATCAATTAATTATAAGATGCACCTACAGCAGACGTGCAGAGAAATTTCTTTTTTCTTTTATTCACACACCATTCGATAGAGAATTTGACGGCAGTCACGAATATGTGTTTCCTGAACTTTTTCGAGCATTTCCTCCCGTCGAAATTTCGGAAAAACTAAAAAGTGGTGGAAAACTCGATTTTTTGAGTCTTTTTTAAAGCTGAGTTGTACAAGTTTCTTTACAACTTGGAAAATTCTGACGACTATATTCAGCATCAAAAACTGAACTAGAAAATAGTCGAAAGTCCGTTTTTGATCCGAAGGTCTATCCGCGAAGGACCTTGGAAACAAAACGACCACAAAATTCGACCTGATTTTCTAAAGTTTTCACACGTTTTTCTAGAGGTGCTAGAATCAATATTTTTACATGGCTCGATTCCCTAGATGCCAAGCTACAAAACTGAATGTGCCGAGTTTTGAAATTCCTTTTGGTTACTGAGAAAAATCATTTTTTCTAATACAGAGGCATTGTATGTTAAAGATCATATACAATCCACTGTGGCTTTAAAAAGTAATAAGTCTAATTCCGAGTATCTCTTTGTGAATATTCTTCTTCCATAATAATATATTTTAATTTCTGTTTGTTATCGTTCCGCAGAACCAGTTCAGAATTTTGTTAACATCTTAGAAAAAACATCGAGACGTTAAGTAGTAAATTTAAAGTAGAATTATTGGCGGTGGTTTTAGCGGACACTGAACGAAGTGGTGCAAAACTATAAAAACAACACGAGAAGAAGAGAAGGTTTATGCTTTTGACAAAAAATAACACTGTGAAAAAGGTCGTGTCACAGTGAGTGGCTTAGAGTTCGTTAAGTGGAACTTGATAGCTCAACCAGACGATCAATTAACAATCAACAGAGCAACCAAAGACGACTGTGTTTTTCGTTATCTTTGGTTTGCGAATTTTTAAATATGTTGTTCCACCTAAGATCATGAATTATGCACATGCGAATTTCGACCATACAAAGACCCTCACGATCCAAACGCTTGGTCACTTCAATGTGCAATTACCCTTGGATTTGAGCAATTTTTAGATAAGACGTACACATGTGCCACATGGTCTGGTGGAATCGATCTCAATTTAGGTACGTGGAAATTTGGTGATCCTGTTTTGCATTCATAACACGACGTAACATAACATTACGTCGTAAAATGGAAAATATGCAATGAACGATGTCTTAGCGGTTTTATATATTTTTCAACAGAACCAACAATATCTTAAGAACAAAAGTACCAAAAGTGCTACGGCCAATCCAGAATTAACTCAACAGGCAGAGCAACAACAAACAACAACATCAATAACAACACAGCGAATTTGTACAATAGTGGAAAAATCCTCACCAAGCTACATCATCGATAAGTTCAAAGCCAGTGGTGACCTTGGCAAATTCCGATTTATTTTTACCATCTACATCAATACCTACTCCATTAATATTATCTACCCCGCCAGTGAACTCCTCCTTACCATCTACACAACATCAGCAACAGCGACGATCACTTACAGAAGAACAACGGATACAACGCAATAGACTTAATAGTCGACGACGTCGCGACAGAGATTTTAGACGGTCAGTAGTCCGTCCCATTTATTATAGATTTACAGTACAACAGGTCAAGGATTTTTTGAGATCTATCGGATTATCGTGGAGAATAGTAATAGTGCAACCTTATTGGCTGCATATTGGTGTAAAAGGCTCTAATGATCTCCGCAACTATGAACATTCCTTGTTCTCATTTTATTTTACCCGCCGACATTCTGTGCAATTGTTTGGAGCACACCAGCAACAACAAAGTCAACCGCAGCCGTGAGTACTGGGTGATGATCGCGGTACAATTACATTCAGTTTATTCCAGCAATCGTCGATTTTCTTTTTGTTCATTTTCGTTACATCTTTTTCTTTTCTGTTTTTTACATCTTTCCAGGACTGTTTGTCTTTCTTCTTCTAGTCGTTCTACCTTTCGGATGGATGTTACATCCTTCTCGCGCAGAGAGGGTATTAAGTCCGGTACACATAATGCTCTAGTCCTTTCGTTTTCTTTAGTATTTAGTTTTCTGTTTTTTGTCTTAGCTCTCTTCACATGTGTGTACGCGTTATATGTATTTTATCTTGTTATTTTAAATATACTACATAAAGTGAATTGGCACTTTCTTGCAATTTAGGATACTGAGAGAGTTTCTTGTCTCACTTAACTAACGAACCCGGGCTTACGACTTGGAGCCCGAGAGAAAAATTAAGTGTTGACAAGTGGGGGCCAATTATTTGTTATAATAATTAACAAAGAATTGTTATTTTATTTCAAATTATTAGTGTTTCTAGCTAGTGTATGCTTACAAGATCAAAGGTGGATTTCAAAAATCTATCAGCAGAGTGTTTACAATCACCACCAGGACTTACGAGGGAAGGTCCCCAACTGTCCGATCGCTTTCGAGCCGAAACCTAGTGGACTATAGGTGGTTTTCCAGAAAACCACTCTCTGGAGGCCTAGCAGCACGTCTCATGTTGATATTCGGAATCAGCATGGTCGACTACCTATAGTCCACTAGGTTTCGGCTCGAAAGCGATGGGACAGTTGGGGACCTTCCCTCGTTAGTTCAATCATTCGAAACCTCCATTTAATCAGATTTCTCGTCGCCGATCTGGAATTTTGACGGCACTAACCATTACAAACAATTCTCCTCTCCATTATCTCCCATATCTGCTGATTTGCGTAACGAAGAACGTAAAACATCAATGGAACAACAATTCGAGAGTGAATATCAGGATCAACTGCAGCAACTAGATCAGGCAGTGGCAACAGCAAAACAAATTGAGCGAGAGCTGTTAGCAAAAGTTCTAGATGTGGGATATACGGCTGATAGCGCCAGTCAGTGGCTTAAATTTATTGAATTGATATGGGGAAAATTAAACTGTCCCTTAGTGTGTTGGGCCGATGGAGCGTCTCAACATTTGCCCAGTATTTTGTTTAATTCATGGTATTAAAAATCACAACAAGTAATAAATAATGAGTGGGATATATTAAGCATGAATTAATCGAATATATGAAAAATCCAGAAGAACTATCACTAACATCTACAACTGCGTTTATAAATCAGCAATCTCAACAATCTGTGGCCATAGCGGTAATTGGATTACATACATTCCCTTACTACTTACAGGTCAAGCGTATATTTGGTATGCAGTGAACAGATCAAGAATTTCTGACTTTGATACATTCGTGGCAAATTTATTGATGGAATTTGAAACAAAGCCACGTTTCAGTAGTGGATCGGCTGATGCAAATGCAACCGCGCCATCGGTACCATCAGCAGCAAAGGGTCCTCCATTGATCGTTCGTCAAGATCCAGTGGAGCTGAATTTTGAACTTTAATTTTTGAGCTTTTTTTTAGGTGTTGCCTGCCTGCTTTTATAGCCCATGGTCGACTGATGAATCGGCACTAGTTTGTCTCCGACGTATGGCCGACACTCCCGCAAAAAAATTTAAAATAAAATTTGCAGCGAAATAAAGCAGAAGAAGAATAAAAAATAAGCGCTAACGAGCTTCAAACCTCAACACTCGCTTATCGTGGGCATAGTATTTATAACCTATTTTGCCATCAGCGCATATCAATAGATAAGTATACTTCTGACTTTTTCTGTTCTTTTCCTCACTAAAGTAGAAACAGAACAAAAGCACACCATACCAATTTTGAAAAATTGTAGAGGTCTAAAGTATTTACAACGAAGAGTGAGATTTGGAAGAGAAAGTTGAGACACAAGTAGAGAACTAGAAGAACGATAGTCAAAATTGCGAGAAATAACACGAGAAGCAAGTTTGTTTACAGAATCAAGAACAGTAAGAGAAAATCAACTGTCATACAAGGCACAGCAATAGTCAACTTTAGGAAGAATAAAAGAAAGATAGATTCGACGCCGAACTACAGTTGGAGCTAATCCAAAGACACGATTCAATGCTCCAGGCTTGCGCCGACAAGTAAGAGCAATGTCCTTGGCATGATCATTCCACCTAAGATCGTGCGAAACAAGAACACCAAGACAATGAACAGAAGACACAACGGAGAGAGGAGCACCATTGAGATACAATTGATTATAAACGTACGGAAAGAGGTTGAATGCGAAAGGAAGTCAACAACATTTAGAAACGTTTAAAGACATGAGATTGGAAGAAGGCCAGTGAGAAACAGAGTTCATACAGTTTTAAACATGAGAAAAGGCCGTATAATCAATTGTTACGAACACATTTACAATGTTTACTCTTACAACCTGATTTACAAGAGTACACCATGCCATTGACATCAAAGGAAAGAAAGTTGAACACAGTATGTTTGATGTCTACCGTTGGATATAGTGTAATATACAGTGAAAACCTCTAATGGAGCCACCGGATCCAAAAAATCAACAGGTCCCAACGAGATCTTTGCGTCGTACAACGTAACTCGTCGTGCTAATTCCGAACATGTAAAAATCCTGAGATACTCTAGTCTAGAAAAAAAATATCAAATTTTGATATGGGAGAGAGAGAAATATAGCGAACTTCTGTGATTCCACGCAAAAACCCATAATGTAATATAAACCTAAAACGTTTTCTGGATAGACACACACAGATAAACAACTATTTTGTAAGATCCTAGACTAAACCCAAGGGAATAAATTCTTAAGATGACAACAAAAAAGAGTGTCGTTATATCTTCTCACTGGGATAGTATGAACCAACCAAAAAAGAGGCTAAGCCAGAACCACAGGGGGCAATTTGGACTAAGCACGTGAACATGAGTTTTGAAAGCAGTCCAAATGTATCTAAATCATTTTTCTATAGATTTTCTACGACGCTCTTTCCAACCGAATGGTTTTCGGGTTTTAAAAAAGGGGTTTCCAAGGGGTTTTCCAGAGATCGGATCTCTCCAAACCACTTCAAAAACTTTATCAGAATTCAAAAACCATTTCATTGGAAAGAACATCGCTGAAAATCTATAGAAAATACTTTAGAAGCGTTCATGATTTCAAATCTTGACTTTTAACTTTTCGGGCAAAAAAATCTACGTGCCGATCCCAAAATCTAAGAATTCGATAAGATTCAAAAGTATATGTCCAAAATCCAATGAATTATACGCCATTCGATGTAGTTTTTTACGCTGATTCTGAATATGCCCTTATTTTTCAATTGGAGTATCATAAAATGCAAAAAATCTCGAAAAACCACTGAAAACTGACATTTTTTGTAAAATCTGCAACACCGCTTAGAAGCATTTGCGCATGTTTGCGCATTCCCTGTAGATGTACCATATATAGAGAAGCAATTGCTGAAAGTTTCATCGAAAACGGGATGTGGAGGGGGCGCTCACTTTCCCAAACGCATCGTTGTCGGAAGCTCCTACCAAAGAAAAAAAGTAAACAATTCTTCCGCCCAAAACCGGCTAATTCAAAAAAAATTTTTATGAATCGATAGCCTAACTCATCCTCTTTCACAATATATCAGTTTTATGTTTTTATGTTTGCGTTCTTCCGCCGTAAAAAAACGTTTTTTCCGGTGAAATGCGCAAAAACTACTAAAAATCACGACTTACTTTTCTCGGTGAAACTAAGTACTTGGATCAAAATTTTTTCACCATTAAATCGGGCATTTTGTAGTGCATATTGGTCACTAATTGAATGGAATTGGAAAAACTCACTTTCATTTTTTCCCCTAATGTCCACGTTGTTGCACACTGTGAGGACTAGTAGTCTTAACCCAGTATAACTGAGAATGTTGTGAACTTCTCTGATTCCACGAAAAAATCGCACAATGTAACATAAATCTGAAAAGTTTTCTGGACGCTCTCTGAAGATCTGAAGCGAGCCTGCAAGTATTTCTGATGAATTCACTAACGAGGGAACCCCACGAAGTGATTAAACGCTTTTTGCTCGGAATCTAGTGGGTTATAGGTTATCGACCATGCTGATTACGAATACGACCATGCGGCTTCCGCATAGCCCTTCGAATACCTGATTTTCTAGAAAACGAG